CAACGTTTATTTATTTTTGGGACAGAGAGAGAGAGAGGGAGACACAGAATCGGAAACAGGCTCCAGGCTCTGAGCCATCAGCCCAGAGCCCGACGCAGGGCTCGAACTCACGGACCGCGAGATCGTGACCTGGTTGAAGTCGGACGCTTAACCGACTGCGCCACCCAGGTGCCCCAGTCATACATTTCTTAAACTGCTCTGGCCCTTCCCCTATTCACATAATTCTATTTACAATCTGACAAAAATAGATGGATACATCCCACCTAGGAATGTTTTTGATATAAGGACTTCATTCTTGATATAAGCCAGCCTGCTACCTAAGCCCATTAGAAAACCCAAATCCTCTGAATAAAAGGCCTTTGGCTCGCTTTCTTGGAATTAAAAACAAGAAAATAAAATAATGAAAAGGTAAAATATCAAATTATTGAATACTTGAGTCCAGCGATCCCCATCAAAGCACAGTACAGACGTAAGAGTGCACTGGCTTTCACAACATGCTCTTCTTTCAGCCCCGAATACACAGACACATTGGGCTCCATCTCCACATCAGCTTCCTCCACAATGCGGGTACTTCTTACTGTGGGAAGAATGCCCATCAACTCCAGAAGAAGCTGCCTTCTCATTTGCCAAAGGACAGAACTACTGGTCTCTCTTTTTCTCTGTAAAAAATATAGAGCATGGAGCACTTACCAAGTCAAAAGGACATTCAAACAAAGCTCCCCAGTTAAACACTTGAAATTGACCCTTTTGAAGAGCCTGTCGTAACTGTAGAATCTCATTTTAACCAACTGATTAAAAACTGAAAATTCACTGATTCATTTGAAGAACACTCTATTCACATTAATCCAGATTGGCTATACAGAAAACACTAAGTTAATGACAATTTGAACTGTAAAATGTCATTTAAATACTTTCAAATACATAATGACTAACAGAGTCATATGTAATACAGTAGAAAGTGCTCACATTTTGGAGACAGGACATCTTGGGTTTAAACAAAGCTTTGCTATTAACTATGTACACTTAACTCTCTGAACTCCAATGTCCTTAATGACAAGGAAATGAATATTAATAATATTTAACTCCTGGGGTGTGTGGGTGGCTCAGGTTGAGTATCTAACTCGATTTTGGCTTAGGTCATGATCTCACAGTTGGCATTGGGCTCTGCGTGACACTGTGGAGGCTGCTTGGGATTCTCTCTCTCCCTCTCTCTCTGCCCCTGTCCTCCTGGCTTGCTCTCTCTCTCTCTCTCTCTCTCTCTCTCAAAATAAATAAGTAAACGCTAAAAAATAATAATAGTAATATTTAAACTCCCAGGGCTGTTGTAATGAGGAGTTTATAAGTCTATCACCCTCATAGTTCTTGAGGCAGGGATAACATCTTAGTCATCTATTACTTGGCAGGGCCTAACATTGTGCCTGACATATAGCAAGCATACAGTATCTGTTAAATAGATGAAAGAATGAACAAAGGTAACACATATAAAAGCAGTTCTAAATTGTAAAGAACTAGGCAGATGTCAGTTATTATTTTTAAAATGGTTCTAAGTAAAATATGATAAACCTGCTTTAATAACATTAGCTTCAAATAAGAAAAATTTACTGCACATAATGGACAAACAAGATGAGCATACCAAAGTGCTTAACACAGTGCATATAGAAGGTACGCAATAAATGTTAACTTCCCCTTAAAAATCAAGGCTTAAAATTAGAGTTACCATGAAATGTTCTTTGAAAAAGTGAAATATTTTGCAACTTAAAAACTGTTGCCAAATATAATATATATTCATCAATAGATGAATGAAAAAATAAAATGTAGTATATACATACAATGGAATATTATTCAGCCTTGTAAAAGAAATGCTGATTCGTGCTACAACATGCATGGACTTTGAAAACATAGAACAAGCCAAACCTAAAAAGAGAAATATTGTGTGACTCCACTTATATGAGGAACCTAGAATAGTCAAATTCATAGAGGCAGAAAGTAGAAAGAAGTTATCAGGTACTGAAAGAAAGGAGAAATAGGGAATTATTGTTTAATGGGTAGAGTTTCTGTTAGAGATGATGAAAAAGTGCTGAAAATGAAGAGTGGTGATGGTTGCAATATATTGTGAATGTAATTAACGCCACAGAACTATACACTTTAAAATGATTAAAACAGTAAATTTTATATCATGTATATTTTACCATAATAAAAAAGATACATATTAAAATTATAGACTATAATAACAACTTATTTTGATGACCTATTCTCATGAATCTGTCCCAGAACCCTAGAGATTCCCAAAACTCTTTCAGAGAGTCCAGAGGTAAAAAATATCTCCTTACTGTTGAGAACTGAGAACAAACTAAGGGTTGATGGGGGGTGGGAGGGAGGAGAGGGTGGGTGATGGGTATTGAGGAGGGCACCTTTTGGGATGAGCACTGGGTGTTGTATGGAAACCAATTTGACAATAAATTTCATATAAAAAAAAAAAAATCTCCTTAAACATTATTTGCCTTTTCTACCCTCATTTTCTCACAAGCGTACAACACAGTTTTCCAAATATTCAACTCAGCCAGACATTAAAGAGATTTGCAAACATATAAAACAATACAACACTTCTCACTGTTTTTTTTTTTAATATGGTTATTTTTCATTAAAAATATGTTCACATTTAATAGGGTTATTATTAAAAAGTTATTTTTGCCATTTTTAAAGAATTAGGTAAGTATTTCATAATATTCAGTTTTATTTCTAATATCATGAATATCAATAGATAAAAAGCACATAAATAAAAGCCCTTTGGTACCTTCAGTGATTTAAAATGTCAGGAGGTCCTAAGACTAAAAGTGTGAGAAGCACTGGTCTAATGACATCATTCTAAAAGTGTTTCTTCCTCTTTTACTAGTTGTCAAAATATCCTGATTCCTAGCCTATAAATATTATTTTTTTATTTTTTATTTTTTAAAATTTACATCCAAATTAGTTAGCATATAGTGCAACAATGATTTCAGGAGTAGATTCCTTAGTGCCCGTTACCCATTTAGCCCATCCCCCCTCCCACAACCCCTCCAGTAAACCTCACTTTGTTCTCCATGTTTATGAGTCTCTTCTGTTTTGTACCCCTCCCTGTTTTTATATTATTTTTGTTTCCCTTCCCTTATGTTCATCTGTTTTGCCTCTTAAAGTCCTCATATGAGTGAAGTCATATGGTTTTTGTCTAATTTCTCTAATTTCACTTAGCATAATACCCTCCAGTTCCATCCACGTAGTTGCAAATGGCAAGATTTCATTCTTTTTGATTGCCGAGTAATACTCCATTGTATGTATATGTGTGTGTGTGCACACACACACAAATATATATATACATATATATATATATACCACATTTTTTTTTTTTATCCATTCATCCATCGATGGACATTTGGGCTCTTTCCATACTTTGGGTATTGTTGATAATGCTGCTATAAACATGGGGGTGCATGTGTCCCTTTGAAACAGCACACCTGTATCCCATGGATAAATGCCTAGTAGTGCAATTGCTGGGTCGTAGGGTAGTTCTAATTTTAGCCTATAAATATTTTTAATCTCACCTGCTGTCCATTTCGGATAAAAGTTCCAAACCAAGTCCGGACTTTTGCATTTGTTCCAAGAAGCAAACCACTAACAAAACAAACCAAGTCACTCACTCCATCTTCACTAGCTTCATTTTTAGTATGATCCAATGTCAAAGCCACTCCAAGGCCTGGCAAGTGACATTCTTCTACCTAACACAGCAAAGAAAACAAACTGAACTCAATCTCATAAGGAAAAGAGCCAGGACACTTCAGTGTTTAGATGTTTTAAAGCTTTTAAAGTTTAGAGGAGGACATATCACAAAACACAAAAACCCAGAAAGGAAAGTAATTCCAAATCTCTACAAGATTCTCAAATCATCTTGGGAAAGTTCCTGGTCATAATACAAAGGCTTCGGTCTTATAAAAATAATATCTCTTACCACCATGCCTCGGACCTTGAGGGCCTGAGAAGGATTCATTTTACATAAGAAGCGTAGGGCATCTGTCCTGCGCCTTCCTCCAAGACTTTCCTCATCTTGTCGTTCTCCATTTTTTATGAGACCCCTACAAACTGAACATTTAATAGCCTCTATTAATTTAAGCTTTTAAGTAGAATGTTAAAAAAGAATTTCTTCAGTCTTTGAATTAATCATTTATGCGGAATAGACACTATAGAAGAAAATCATCAGGGAATTTGAAAGCATAGCAAAAGAAACTGGTCAAAATAAAGCAAAGAGTGAAAAGAGACAAAATGAACAGTGACCTGTGGTGCAATACCAAGTAGTCAAATATAATTAGGGTCTCAGAAAGAAAAACTGAATGGAAAACAAAAATATATTTGAAGAAATTTTTCTGAATTTGATAAAAACTGTAAAACCAGAAGTTCAATAAACTTCAAGCAGGATAAACACAAAGTAATAATATTGAGATCCATCATAAGCAAATTTCTGAAAACCAGTGGAAAAGAGAAAATCTTAAAAGCAGCCACAAAGAAAAGACAAATAAAAGCAGCCAGAGGAAAACAGAAACATATACAGAGCAAGAGAAATCAAAACTACCACAGACAATAGAACAACATCTTTAAAGAGCTAAAAGAAGGGGAGGGGCACCTGGTGGCTCAGTTGGTTAAGCATCCAACTTCAACTCAGGTCATGATCTCACAGTTCGTGGGTTCGAGCCCCACGTCAGGCTCTGTGCTGACAGCTCAGAGCCTAGAGCCTGCTTCGGGTTCCGTG